AAAAAAAAAATTTATTTTACCATAACTTTTAGCTCAATTGGTAAGTTTGACATTGACATAATTAAATAGAAAATTTTATGACAATTAAAAAAATTGTATCGTTAAGATCAATATGCAGTCAGAAAGTTTTATAATTACTATTTATTGTAAATTTATTAGAAAAGCTCAATATTTTTTTGCATTTTTATCGTAATCGATAACTTAAATAGAAGTAATGATAATAATTTCCTAGTAACTTTTGTTGTTTAATAAGATTCTACAATTGAAATATTGAGAACTTAATTAATTTTAATGATTTATTTTAACTAAATGAACCAATCAAAACAAAATTGTTAAAAAGATTTACTCAATTGAGCGTATTATAAAATTTGATTATATTTGTAAAAATCCATTGTTAATTCAGGAGACAAAACAATCAATTTTTTAGAAATGATTTATATAGCAACATGTTACAAAAAAATTTTGTAATATTATAGTTTAGTAGTAGCACACACAAATAGAGTTAAAAAAATTATTAAATTACAAACTAAAATTATTTAATTTTGTAGTTGAAACCTATCATATCAAACTTAATTCGTCAATAAATACATTGAAAACTTTAGAAATGAATGATTTTAATTGTTTTAATGGAGAACATGGAATAACTAATTGTTTAATCGATAAATTAAAATTTTTTTCAATATTTTAGGGTAATATCTTCAACTAGATACGAATTGTAGTAATTTGACGTATCGTTGAAAAATGTAGGTCAAGTTAGAACAGAGAAATNAAAAAGTAGGTCAAGTTAGAGCAGAGAAAATAAATGATAGTCACAAAAAAATATCTTCTCAGCTTTGCATCGAAGCTAAAACTTAAAATATAGTAAAATAATTGTAATACGAATAAGATATTTTTTCTTGCAAGGGGCGACTAAAGTGATGGGATCCTCGATCTTTATTGAAGTTATTGAATCTAAATGAGATAAAAATCAAACGAGTTAAAAATTTATACTAACTTAAAAAGAATTAAGAAAAAATGCAAAAAATTCATTGCCATACGCGGGTTGGAACCTCGTACTCCAAGCGTGTAAAACATAAGTAATTCCAACTCGATAACNTAAATAATTATTCAATAAACTATTAATTATAATGTTTGGGAATCACTGTAAATAATTAATCTTGTTTTGTTTTTCTCAACTACCGCCTACCTAAACACACCGATACCGACCGTCAACCGAATTCGACCATCACCGAAACCACCGTAAAAGAACATACCGACCGTTAACTTTGAAAATCATAGCGAATATCGTACGTGTGTGCATTAACAATTCGTCGTCGCCGCCGTCGCAGTCGTATCCAAACAGCAAAGGCAAGCGTTATATTTACTTAATTATTTTGTTTTTTTTTTAATTAATTGTTTGTATTCTGATCCCCCCATTAATTGATTCCCCTTAGTTTTAAGTTCCTGGCCAGGGTTAATGCATATATGAAATTTTCTTTGGTTAATAATTAATTTATTGTAACTACGTGAACATTGGTTGATTATTTATTTATTTTCAACTTTATTTTATTGTTTTCCTTTTCAATACCTTATACAGTCCATTAATGACCGTACAGTAACCGTACGTCGCTATCGTCGGTTGAAAAAATGGGCTATTTAAGCTAGTTCAAATTTCAAAGTTATTTTTCTTGACTTAAAAGAAGTANTTCAAATTTCAAAGTTATTTTTCTCGACTTAAAAGAAACAAACATATTTAAATAAGTTTAACTATCTATACTATATCAATTTTTATTTATATAATATTTATGAAAATCTGTACTCCCCTTGTCAGATATTTTAAAATAAAATAAAATACAAAACCCAGAATTTGTATAACCCAATAGCATATTTTTGCATACGGTAGTCATTTTTACCATGAAGACAAATCCAGAGGTCAAATTTTTTTTTTTCACATTAAAGTATATTACATAAGCTTTAATTTAAGATATATTTAAAAGTGTCAGTATTTCCGGAATACTTTCAAAAATTAAATTGAAAATATCGTAGTAACAATACGCATGTTTAAAGTTTTGACCCCCCTTGTTAAAGGGGTATGATCCGATTTACAAAAAAAGCGTGCCAGATGAAAGGGGTATATAAATATTTATTATAAAAAAATAATAATATAGATCCATATATTTTTCCAAAAGTTATATAAAATATAAATTAAATAATATAAAATATAAAATCGAGAATTTTTTTCACAGAAATCGTACATTTTTCTTTAACTTTGATGTCCTTTTTCACCACGGAGACAAGTTCAGAGGTCAAAATTTTTTTTTTTGAATTAAAGTATATTACATAATCTTTAATTTAAGGGATATATAAAAGTGTCAGTCTTTCCGGAACATTTTCAAAAGTCAAGTTGAAAAAGTTCTACTTTCTATACGCATTTTAAAAGGTTTGTCACCCCCCTGTATAAAGGGAAATGGTCCGATTTTAAAAAAAAGTATGTCGAATGAAAGAAGTATATATAAAGTATTTATCATTAAAGAATAAAGTTGATTCATGCATTTATTAAAAAGTTATAGCAACATAATGTTAAAAAATGTAAAATATAATATCAAGAATTTTTTCAAAAAAATAACATATTTTTGCATACGATAGTCATTTTTACCATGAAGACAAGTCCAGAGGTCAAATTTTTTTTTTCAACTTAAATTATATTATATTAGCTTTAATTTAAGGTATATATAAAAGGGTCAGTCTTTCCGGAACATTTTCAATAAGTTAATTTTTTGTAAAAAAGTTACCATTTTGAAACCCTTCCTGTGGGCTGTTAAAGGGTCAAATGTTCACAAAAATATAGAAAATGATAGGTAAATATCTAAGGTATCTATAAAAAAAAAAATTATATTGATTCGGTCATTTTTAAAAAAGTTAGGGCAATTTTAAGTAAAAAAAAATGAAAAAAATATCGAAAATTAGCGATTTTTAAATTTGTAATTTTTTGGGGGATTTTCCCCGTTTACGGGGAATGAGGGAATTTTTGAGGGTAATGTCTTCAACTAGATACGATTTGTGATATTTTGACATATTTTTCATCAAAATCGGTTCAGTGAGAGCTGAGATTGAGCGTATACAGACACAAAAAAAAAACACATTATAATAAAATTAAAACTTTCTCAGCTTCGCATCGAAGCTAAATGAAGTATAATGTATTATGTAAATCATAAGTTATACGAATTGTCAGTTAGATCTGTTCCACCCAAGTGTATTATTATTCGATTTTAAACAATTATTATGATGGTTTGGTCAATTTAAAAAATTGCATACTTAAAAATATATATATGCATTATCTAAAAAAAGCTAATAGGGTAATTCTAAGATCATTTACGGAATCAGCAATCCTAAATTACATAGAAATATCCTCTCATATACCTGCAACTGAAAATTTTTTTTTTGTTGGCCAGGGTTATTTTAATAATTGTAAAATTAATTTTATGATAAAATCACTCAATTTTAATATCACACAAAATTATCATAATAGATATAGTTTTGTACCACTTTATTAATTGCCTTATTTTATAATATCACAAATACAAATATAAAATTTCACTAACTATAAGTGTCTGGTAAATTTTCAATGCTTGCAATACAGATCCTCAAATCTTCTACTACTTCATTAAATTTAGTCTCGTGTAGATCCCCCTGTTTAAATAAAAAGTGTGAATGTCGAATTAAAAGTTTATTAATGCATTCAAAAAACTTAAGAGTTAGTTCTAATATAACTGTAAGCTTTTTTTTTATTATTAAGAAATTAGTAGCAAACAAAAAATGATAACGCATTCTTGACCAAATTTTTGCCAGTTAATTGACATAGTTCCAACCCTAATTTGCGATTTAAAATTATTTAAAAATTTGGGTTTAAACTACAAATTCATCATTAATTTGGTTTTCATAACATCGGAATCAATAATAATCTGTTTCAATGTGCCATAATTTATTTTTATGGTAGTTATAAAAAATAAAATTTCTACGCAGGTCATTCAACAATCTATGACAGTAAACTTACATAGAATATAATAGTATGCGTTTATAATTGACATGAATAATGATAAAATATATAATTTTTGTATATTAAAAATACCGAATTGTATCTGTGATAAATGACTACAACTGTAGGCTAAACAGCAAATTATCAATAGAAAATTGGTTAAAAATAGTTTAACTTTAACAAGAAATAACAAAACAACAAAATTATTAAAACGTTTTTTTTATTATATTAATCATATAATAGAGGTTCCCATTAAAAAAAATTTAATTTTTTTTTTTATTCTTGAAGTATGAAAAAAAAAATTATCTACATATTATTGTAAGTTTTAAATCAAACAATATTTTCAATTTCATTATTAATTTATTAAACTTATGAATCATAACATAAATTTGTATTTTATATTAATATTTTGCTAGAAAAAGTATAATTGAAAAAATGATAAGCCAATAATTGATTGTTTAAAATTATTTTTTAAGTAGTAATTAAAAATGTGTTTCTGTAGTAGCACTAATTAAATTGTTATTAACGAAAACCTTAACTGCAATATCAACAAATTGGTATACCAAAACCTCACTGAAATCGATAATTTAAGAAAAGTGAAAACCGAAATCCTACGGCGATCCATAAAATTATTTCTGTTTTTAGGCTTGATATTTACTTAATTTTTTTTAAATAGAAACATGTTACTCACGCAACAGCAATCCATCTGATAGGTTTCTATAATCTATTATACGCAAACATATATCTATTTTAATTTATTTTATACATATACATATACATTCATGTATGCATATTAAATTTAATTCATTGTATACAGTACTAATAAAAACAGAAAAAAAGAACATACATATCTAACTATACTTAAATGTAAACTATAACTATCATGCCAGAAAATTCAAATTCAAAAATTATAAAAATAATCTTTTTTAGGTTATGTTTATATTTGGGAAGCAAATGCCCGTGTCCATTAAATGCCTAATGATAAAAAAAATTATAACCCGCACTATATTTTAAAAATCGAATAGTTATTTAAAATTATAAATATTAATTTAAAACTAAAAAGTATTAAAAATATTTAATTAAAAAAACCACAAAAACCATTACTAAAAAAAAAAAATCGAGGTTACCTATTTTTGAAACAATGTTACCATTATCAACAATAAACACATACTGACACCCCGACTGAAAAAATAACCTCTTATATACCCCTAGTGACGATTATCATTTTCTTGATTTTTAATGTTTCTTTAACGTTTACACGTTTACGTGTTCTTTAAATTTAACTCTAATTTCTTTTTGTTTGTCCTATGTAAATAATTTTGAAATTACGTTTTCGTTATGACAATTAAATCTGGCTATTTCTCTTTTAACGTCCAGATCTTTATCAAAATCTATTTTATTCATCGGAATATTAACTAATCTGTAAACCATACTATTAAATCTGTCATTTTGTGTTTCAAGCTGTGGTTCATACAACACTTAAAAAATAAAAAATCTTTAAAATGCATATAAAAAGTAGAACTTTTTCAACTTAATTTTTTAAAGTATTCCGGAAATACTGACACTTTTATATATATCTTAAATTAAAGCTTATTGGAAAGTGTATGGATCATTTAAATTTTTTTATGAGAAATAGTATTTATATCCCTTTTTCATTTGACATACTTTATCTTAATCAGGAACAGCAGATCTGATAGCTTTTGTAATAATCCACCAATTTTTTTAAAATTAAAAACTATCTAAAGATTTGCATCGAAGCGTTTCTTATGATAGTGATTTTAATCACTGTCAGATATCATTATACTTGATTCAACTATGCCACATCACCACAGTCCCGCGACCCTCATGTGCTGGGTTTTTATGTTTACTATCCATTTATACCTTTGTTAAAAAAACTTTGCTTAAACTATGAATAATAAAGAAATATAAGTTAATTTTAGGTAAATCATTACATATATTATAGTCTAAATCAGTTTAGGCTCAACTAAAAATTTAGTATGAATTTCATATTAATTTTTTCAAATCATTTGTATTGAATAAAATTATATTTTTATTTTAGCAGTATATACAGCTTGTACAAAGATTTTTAAACAAATAAGAGAAAATACTTGCCATTAAATAAAACGTGAATAAAATAAATAAATTCATTTTATCTTGTAATTATAAGCTGAAAGTAAAAAAATCGTAAATTTTTGTTTTTAAATGTTAATTTGAAAAGTGTACTTTCTTTCTAATCTTTTTTTTTGTTAAATAAATTATAATTTTTGTTTTTCTATAAATGACTTATAACTTAAAATTTATTTTAAAACATACATTTTAGCTTTGATGCGAAGCTGAGAATATATTGGTTTTATTATGATGTAAAATGAGGTAAAACTGCCATAACTTGCTTAAAAGTGAACAAATTAATATATTTTTTTTCTGGATAGATGCATAACGTCTTTACCTGTCTTTTAATATACTTTTTTTTATAAATCTGACCCTTTGCCTGCCCACAGGCGGATTTAAAATGACAACATTTTCACAAAAAATTAACTTTTTCAACTTATCTTTTGCATAATAAAGTAATATACTTTATTATGGAAAAAAAAAATACGAACATTATTTTGTTTTCACAGTGAAAATAGCTACCAAATGCTATTTCTGTGTGAAATTTCTAAATTTTACTTTTTACATTTTTTACTTTATAATGCTAATTTATATTGCTATTTATAAAGTTATTGAAGAGTGTATGGATTAACACAATTTTTTTATAAGAAATAATATTTATATCCCTTTGTAATTCGACATACTTTATCTTTATGAGGATATTAACAAAGAGCAGATCATGTAGCTTTTGGAATAATCCACCAATTTTTTTTTAATTAAACTCTATCTATAGATTTGCATCGAAGCGTTTTTTTATAATTATTTTAATCACTATCAATAATATCATTGTACTTGATTCAACTATGCCACGTCGCCACTGTGTCGTGACCCCTTGTGCTGGGTTTTTTTAATAGTACCAATTGTTTTTCTGGAATTAAAAAATGCAGATAGTAATTTATTTACCATTAAAATAATTAGATGTACAACTGTAAAAATAAAATCTTATTAAATTTGTTTAATTAAAATCTGTTTCTGAGCGTGTTATTTTTAGAAATATTACAAATTATATGACTAAAATTCAAAAAAGTAAAAATTGTATGAAACATTATTTATTAAAAAATAATTAGACATAAAATTATTTAACGTTTTGAAAAATAATATTTTTGAATCTTACATAAAAAAACCCAGCACAGTGTGGTCGCGGCATAGTGGGGACGTTGCATAGTTGGGTCCAGTATAGATTTAATCTGACAGTGATTAAAATCACTATCATAAGAAACGCTTCGATGCAAATCAGTAGATAGTGTTTAATTCTAAGAAATTGGTGGATAATTACAAAAGCTACATTATCTGCTAGTTTCTTATTAATACCCTGATTAAGATAAAGTATGTCGAATGAAAAAGGGATTATTAAAAAATATTATTTCTCATAAAAAAATTGTGTTGATCCATAAAAATTTCAATAAGCTATAGCATTATAGAGTTAAAAATATAAAAAATAAAATCGAGAATTTTTACACAAGTTGGTATATTATAGACTGGTAGTAGCACTNAAAAAATTTGGCATATTATAGACTGGTAGTAGCACACATAAATAGAGTTAAAAAATTAATAAATTATAAAGTAAAATTATTTACTTTTGTAGTTGAATACTTTTATCATATCAAATCTAATTCTACAATAAATACTTTAAGAATATTAAAAATTAATGATTTTAATTGTTTGTATGGAAAAAGCTGGTAAAGCTACTTTTTATTTGAATAAGGAATATTTTTTTGATTTTTAAGAGTAACAGCTTAAACTAATCATTAACTTAAATATCATAAACTTAAATGAATCATTTGACGTATCCTTGAAAAAAGTAGGTCTAGTGAGGGTTGGCAAAATAAATCGTAGCCACAAAAAGAACCACATAGTAAAATAATATTAACATGAATACAAATTTCTTCTCACGAGGGGAGACTATAATATAAATTCTATTCTAACTCAAGAAAAATGCAAAATATTAATAACCACAGACGGATGATTTGAACCTCGTACCGTAAGCTAGAAAAACACAAGTGTTACCGACTCGGCAACTGTTCGTTGCTTTCGCCGCTTGATAAAATTGGCTATTTCAGCTAACTCAAATTTAAAAATTACTTTTTCGACTTTAAAAAAGTAAAAAATATTTAATAAGTTTAATTTCTTATGTCTTATGAACTTTATTCTATGTCAATGAAATTATATAATATTCATGAAAGTCAGTTTATTCCCCTAATAAAATATTTTAAAATAAAATAAAATACAAAACCCAGAATTTTAATACAAAAATAGCATATTTTTGAATACGAAGCGATTTGCACATAGAAGATAAGGTGTCGGGACAAATTTTTTTTTTTAATTTTATAGTACATGACAAGCTTTAATTTGACATATGTTTAAAGGACGCAGCATTTCCGGAACATTTTCAAAAGTTAAGTAGAAAAAGTTAGTTTTTGTAAAAATGTTGTTATATTAAATCTCCCTGTGAGCAGAGTAAGTGTTAGATTTTCAAAAAAAAATGATATCAAATGAAAGGAAATTACCTAAGGTTTCAATATAAATAAATATTATTTCGATTAGTTAATATTTGAAAAAGTTATGGGAGTTTTAAGTACAAAAAACATTCCGATAGAAGATGATTTTTATTGCAAACATTACATTTTTTTTTAATTTCGACAGTTATTTGCACATATAAAATAAGGTGTCGAGACAAATTTTTCTTTTTATTTTATAGTATATGAAATAATCTTTAATTTAATATATGTTTAAAGGACGCAGTATTTCCGGAACATTTTCAAAAGTTCAGTTGAAAAAGTTCTATTTTTTGTACAATGTTTCAAAGTTTGAACCCCCCCTATATAAGGGGAAATTGTCTAATTTTAATAAAAAGTATGTCAAATGGAAGATGTACTTATAATGTATTTAGAAAAAAAAAAATTGTGCTGATACATGCATTTTTCGAAAAGTTATAGCATTTTTAAGTTGAAAATTAAAAATTGAAAATCGAAAATTTTAACACAAAAATAGTGTTTTTTTAACTACGGCAACCGTTTACATGCAGAAGATAAAGTGTCGGGACAAATTTTTTTTTTTCATTTTATAGTACATAAAATAAGCTTTAATTTGATATATGTTTAAAGGACGCAGTATTTCCGGAACATTTTCAAAAGTTCAGTTGAAAAAGTTCTATTTTTTGTACAATGTTTCAAAGTTTGAACCCCCCCTATATAAGGGGAAATTGTCTAATTTTAATAAAAAGTATGTCAAATAAAAGATGTACTTATAATAAATTTAGAAAAAAAAGAAATTTGTGCTGATACATACATTTTTTGAAAAGTTATAGTATTTTTAATTTGAAAATTAAAAATCGAAAATCGAAAATTTTAACACCAAAATAGTGGTTTTTTANTGAAAATCGAAAATTTTAACACAAAAATAGTGTTTTTTTAACTACGGGCAACCGTTTACATGCAGAAGATAAAGTGTCGGGACAAATTTTTTTTTTCATTTTATAGTACATAAAAAAAGCTTTAATTTAATATATGTTTAAAGAACGCAGTATTTCCGGAACATTTTCAAAAATTGAGTTAAAAAAGTTGTTATTTTAAATCCCCCCCAATGAGCAGGTGAAGTGTTAGATTTTCAAAAAAGTTATATCAAATGAAAGGAAAATATCTAAGGTTTTAGTTTAAAAAAAAATTATGTTGATTTGTTGATTTTTGAAAAAGTTATGGAAGTTTTAAGAAAAAAAAGTGAAAAAAATGACAAAATTTACCGATTTTTAAATTTGTAATTTTTTTGGACATTTCCCCCATTTTCGGGGAACGAGGGAAAAATTAANTTTTGGATATTTCCCCCATTTGCGGGGAACGAGGGAAAATTTTTAAATTTTTAAGGGTAATGTCTTCAACTAGATACAATTTGTGATCTTTTAACGTATTGTTAAAAGAAATCGGTCCAGTGAGAGCTGAGAAAAAGTAGTGACAGACACAAAAAAAAAAAATAAATAAATTAACACATCATGTTAAAATTAATACCTTCTCAGCTTCGCATCGAAGCTAAAATACAAAAAATAAAATAATATACATAATATAATATAATTACCTTATTAATTATTACTGATAATTGCTGCAAAAGTGTATTAAATAACTAATAACTCTACTTAAATACTTAAATTTATCATTATTTTAAAAACTACGCATGAAATTGTATTTTGATTAAAATAAATAGATGATATCATTATGTATCACAACAAATATGAATAATAATTTAGCTCTGTTTATTTAGTTAAAATTGATGAGTTTTTTGCTTAGTAAAATTTTTTTTACAAAATTAATTATTTACAATTATTTAAAATTTACAGTTATAAATGTATTTTAACAGTAAGTACTTGAAATCTAAACATATTTTAAGAATATTTCATATTTGTGAGGACTATAAAAAAAAATATCGATAAATAACCACATTTAATTTTCATTTTTTGTAACCCATTGAAATAATAATAATTTAAAAAAAAGTTAAATGCAGAGTGATTTTTTAAAATTTTCTATTATCTACTTAATTAATCAAAAATAAAGATAAAAGTAAAAATAAATTTATTTTGTTTTTTTTTTAATATGTATTTTTCTAAATTTATCAATTTTTTTTTTTTTTTTTTTTTTTTTTTTTTT